TAGTAGTAGTAGTAGTAGTAGTAGCAGTCGTAGCAGTAGTAGTCGTCGACGTGGTAGAAGTAGTAGTAGTAGTAGTAGTGGTAGTAGTAGTAGTAGTAGTAGTAGTGTTAATAATGATAGAGGTAACGATAGTATTACCAGCAGTAAATAACAGTAATAATAGTATTCGTAATCGTACTTGTAATGTTAATAGCAATTGTACAAGCATATGCACGCATCCATGCATACATACATGCGCATGCATATATGCATACATACATAAATACGCACAGACGTACACACATAATATATGCACACACACACACACACACATATATATATATATATACATATATATATACATACACACACACACCCATACATATACATGCACACAGGTACATACAGACAGGCACACACACACACACCTGTATACATATACAACACTCATAGGTAGATAGCAAATGATGAGGCAGTTTGCTATGACATCATGCCGCATACACTATGTTATGATGTGATCTGGTACAGTATAATGCAATACAGTGAAGTCTAAGCTGTTTCTGGTTCGGTCGAAGCGCTTCGACGGGCATTGCGTTCGGGGGTTTTGGGTGAGGGTTCAGATTTGTTGAGGTTAACCCTAAACCCTAAACCCTAAACTGGTTGTTCAGGGCATCGGGTCCAGGTTTTGCGGAAGCAGGGCGACTGTGACCTTTGCAGGTTTGATGGTGGGCATTCTGGCGACCGTCCTGGTTCAGTCCTCCTCCACGAGACGTGGCAAGCAATAACTGGGCACACGTGTCGCGAGGATCATGCATGTAGAGATCGAGAGCTTCGGATGTATGCCTCAATAAGGTGATCCCCAGATCCTAAACCCTAAAGCCTAAGTCCAGAACCCTAAACCCTAAACCCTAAACCCTAAAGCCTAAGTCCAGAAGCCTAAACCCTAAACCCTAAACCCTAAAGCCTAAGTCCAGAACCCTAAACCCTAAACCCTAAAGCCTAAGTCCAGAACCTAGGAGCACCTCGATCGTGGTTGGCCTGGTCGGGGCCGGTCAGGCCACAGAGTTTTTTACTCTGGGGTTGAGGTTGAGGCCTATCGGGGCTCGGAGCCGCAAGTGTAATCATAGGGGCTGAGTAGGTAACCTTTAACCTTTTTGGGCTTATATCATCCTACTATAATTCAAAAGGTAACCTTTTTTTGGCTAGCGTACTCAGCCCCTAAGTAATTGTGAGGGCCAAAGGACCCAGGGACCGTGCTACTGTTTCGGCAAGAACGCACGCAGCCTTCCCGAGCGGACCTACTGGGAAGCCCATTGCGCACGAGTTTGACCGGCCTCTTGAATGCGCAAGCGGGATGGGACGGGCGAAGGCGCGCGAAAACTGTTGGAAAACCCAGCCTCGTACCAGAGTGAGCCCAACAAGGGTGGAGATGGCAGAACTCCCAGGAATCAAGAAGTTGGACGGGTTCTCTCCGACAAAAATGTTCAGTCCTTTACAGAATGGTAGCAAGGCTTCCGCGGTTTTGGCGGTGTTTCAGCTTGATGCGCTTCAACTCACGTGGAGCTGTGGAGGTGTCCGTGAAGTATGCGATCCCCATCATTATGGGAGCAAACATCGGTACGAGCGTCACCAACACCATTGCCGGGCGCTCAGGACTTCATGAGACGTTCTTCTTGCGCATCTCCAAGTTTGGGGAGAGGGCTTAGGGAGAATCACGACCCTCCAAATCGAACCTAGTTTGGCGAAGTCTGTGTGTGAGTTGAGCTTAAGGTGTCCATGGCACATGCTGGCGAGCGTCTGGAGCTGGAGCGTGCTTTCTCTGGCGCGACAGTCCATGACATGTTTAACATGTTCCTACGAAGCACAGTGAGGGATCTTTTCTGGCATCGCTCGGGGTTTAAATTCTGGCTTCCTTTTTTTTGGTTTGTTGTTCGTTTCCTTTTTGAGCCGGTTGCTCTTTCACATGACTGGCTTACGTCGAGGCTGAGTGTGGCTGTGATGCTCCCAGAGGAGGCAGTCCGGGGCGTGGGTGGGGATGTGGCGCTGATAAATATAAAGGTTGCATAAGGGTTTAGGGTTTAGGGTATACGGCTATGCGGGTTACTGTGATGGGTATCAGAAGGGCTCCATGTCCAAAGTTGTCGCATGTTGTCGCGTGAGCTTTGCCATGTCGGCAGGTCATCCTGGGGGCCATCAGAGGGCAGGGTGGCATCTTGTTCTACATCTCGAAAGGCATC